AGCAACAATGATATTTTCTATGTTAAAGAGCAGTACACATCCTCAATGATCAGGATGGGTTCAGAAGAGGGGCAAACAGGTGCTCTGGGTTAGAATGCAAGGGGGGCATGGGGAAAGGAACTTGATAGCGGGCATCTACTACAGACCGCCTCACCAGGGGGATGAGCTGGACCTGGAATTCTCAGGTCAGCTCATGGAGGCTGGAAGACCAAAAGATGTGGTTGTCATGGGTGACCTAAACTATCCAGACATCTGCTGGGAGGATCAGTCAGCCAGGTCTTAACGCTCATGTAGGTTTTTAGACCGCACACAGGAAGGGCCTCCGCCTAACCCAGGAAGTACATAATCCCACCAGAGGAAATGCCTTGTTGGACTTGGTCCTTACCACAGGGGATGACCTGGTGAGTGATCTGCAGGTGCTTGACTACCTAGGCGTTAGTGACCATCGTCTGCTGGAATTTACTATCTGGCGCAGGGTGGTGAAAGCAAGCAGTAAGGCAAAAGTCCTTGACTTCAGGAGGGCCAACTTCAATGAGCTAAGGAGATTAGTAAGAGAGACACTAGGGACTCAGAGCTTCACTGAGATGGGAGTACAGGACGGGTGGTTGTTCCTTAAGGAGATGATCCTCTGAGCTCAGACGGAGTCAGTCCCAATGCGAACCAAAGTGGGCAAGAGTGCTAAAAAGCCCCCTTGGCTCAGTAAAGGCATCCAGGAGGGCCTGAGGGCAAAAAAGGTGGTATACAATCAGTGGAAGCAAGGGGCAATCACCAAGGAGGATTACACCTCCATTGCTCATGATTGCAGGGAGGCAGTTAGGAAGGCCAGGGCAGAGACGGAACTAGGGCTGGCGACCAGAATTAAGGATAACAAAAAGTCCTTTTTCAAATACATAAGGAGTAAGAAAAAGGCACCAGGCAATGTGGAGCCCCTACAGGACAGGCTTGGCAATCTCGTGATTGCAGCAAAGGAAAAAACTGATCTCTTCAACAAGTTCTTTGCCTCCATATTTCTGAGCAGGGACTGGGACAACTCCCTCACTAGGATTACAGACAGACTCAGAAGACACAACACCATGCCTAGGGTCAGGGACAACCTAGTTAGGGAACTCTTGGAGGGGATGGATGTGTATAAATCAGCAGGTCCGGATGCTCTTCATCTGAGGGTACTGAGGGAATTGGCAGAGGTCATAGCAGGGCCCCTGGCACAGCTGTTTGAGCGCTCTTGGTGCTCAAGTCAGGTCCCAGAGGATTGGAAAAAGGCCAATGTGGTCCCCATTTACAAGAAGGGGAGAAAGGAGGACCCGGGTAACTATAGGCCAGTTAGTCTCACCTTGGTCCTTGGGAAGACCTTTGGGAAAATTATCAAGGAACACATCTGCAGGGGCCCAACATGGAAGGTAATGCTCAGGGGCAACCAACATGGGTTCAGTGCGGGCAAATCATGCCTGACTAACCTTGTTTCCTTTTACAACTAGGTCAAAGTCCTTGGATGCAGGTGTTGAGATGGATGTGTGTCTGTGGGATGTCTGTTGTGTGTCTGTGTGTCTGAGATGGATGTCATCTACCTGGACTTCAAGAAGGCCTTCACCAGGGCTCAGTCCTCGGGCCTATGCTATTCAACATCTTTATCAGCGACTTGGACGTTGGCATGGAAAGCACGCTGTCCAAATTCACTGATGACACAAAGATGTGGGGAGAAGTGGACACACTGAAAGGGTGGGACAGAATCCAACTAGATCTAGACAGGTTACAGGGGTGGGCAGATGAGAATAGGATGGAATTCAACACAGACAAGTACAGGGTGCTGCATCTAGGGAGAAAGAACCTGCAACACACCGATAGGCTGGGGAACACCCTTCTCATCAGCACAGAGGCGGAAAGGGACTTTAGAGTCTTTGTTGACTCCTGGATGGACATGAGCTGCCAATCCGAGGAAGCGGTCAATTAGGATAACCACACCTTGTTGTGCACTTACAGATGCATCACAAGCAGGTCCAGGGAGGTGAGCCTTCCCCTCTATGCGGTGCTGGTCAGGCTGCAGTTGGACTACTGCATCCAGTTCTGGGCACTGCACTTCAAGAGGGATGTGGCTATCATTGAGAGGGTCCAGAGGAAGGCCACTCGTATGGTCAAGGGGCAGCGGGGCAGGCCCTGAAAAGAGAGGCTAAAGGGCCTGAACCTATTCAGCCTCCACAAGAGAAGGCTGAGAGGGGATCTGAGGGCCATTTACAAGCTCACCGGAGGGACCAGCGGGAATTGGGGGAGGCTCTGTTCCTCCAGGCACCACCTGGGATAACAAGGAATAACAGCCACAAATTGATTGAGCAGGTTCAGGCTTGATATCAGGAGGCGTTACTTTACGATTAGGGCTGCCAGGCTCTGGAATGGGCTCCCAAGGGAGGTGGTGCTCTCCCCTACCTTGGGGGTCTTCAAGAGGAGGCTCTGGCTAGGGTATCATGATCCCAGCACTTGGTCCTGTTGGAGTTATTGATCTGTTCAGGTCCCTTTTGACCCTAGAAACTATGAAACTAGCAGTTTTCCTTAAGCAGTGTGGACAAGGATTGCCCCCTTTCCCTCCCTCCCACAGACACACAAATCAAACTGTGTTATTCATCACTCCTCTGGAAATCTAGAGAAACTTATACAAACCAAGCCTATTAGATAGAGTGGAATATAACTCAAATAAATAAATAAATAATTCTCTGGACACAGTTCCAGTCCACAACCATTAATTCTAACAACCCTGTTTAATCTAAAATTTCAAGCCCATACTATCCCCAATGAGCATGTGAAAAAAAGGCAAATGTATGTACATCTAATAAACCAAGTAGCTGTGTGTGGTATAGACAGAACTGGAGCTCTTCCAAAATGTATGTTCAATAATTTTGTTTTATATCTTGAGTACATCCTGGTTAAAATAAAAATATTTTCTGCTAGTGTCACTAGCATACTGGAAGTGGTACTCCAGCTTCATGAATGAGCATCAATGATGCAGAACTATTGCAATGCAGTGACAGGCCGAATTAGAAATGTGAAAACAAATAATGAAGGATGCGACTTCTGTTAACAGCAATTATGTTGAGGTAGTGTCTCTTAGACACAAGCACGTTGGACCTACTGTATTTAGTTGAATACAACAAGCACATTTTTTGCCAAAATTAGCTACTGGAAATTAGGCTGTGTTTTAAATGAAGAAATGGAGGTGCCAGAGAGCCCACTCCTGAGGGAGCTGAACTGCCCAGCCTACCTTATCTAGCTGGGTGGGCACCCAGTGGCACCTGCAGTCTCCTGAAATCCCATACAGCTAAAGAAGGGAGGGTCAGGGAGTTGAGCTCCAGCAGGATCAGGACCCATAGCTGACTAACTCAGCAGGTGCCGCTAGCTGAGCTGAAGTGCCTGACCTCTCTCTTTTCTTCTTGAGCTGAAAGGGATGGGCAGCCTGCTGGGTCAGTTGAGAACCCAATCCTTCAGGGAATAAGTTGCTTGGCCCCTCTTCTCGAGTCAGATGGGACCTCAGTTGATTCCACAGGGGCTGGTGTTCCAGATGATGTCTAGGATCAGACCCTCAGCTGACCTGGCAGTTCCTGCTGGCCACCCATGCAGTTCAGCTCAGCTAGCAGCACCTGCTATGTCCTGCACCTAGGAGATTAAAAGAGCAGCCACAGGTTTTTGCTCCTCCACTACTGTGACTGCCTGTGTTTTCCTAGTGAAAATACTATGCTTCTTGGGATCTTCAAGGAAAGATCTTTTTTTCATCATTGATGTTTCAAAAACAAGGTGTGTGTTTTACTCAGAGGTATGTGGTATGCGAGAAAATATGAGGCACTATATATACAGGATAAATTAAATCCCTGCTTCAAATAACTCACTGTCCAAGGGGTATCCTAAAAAAAACAACCCCAACTTTTTTCATTCGTATTATTTGAGGGTCTTCATGACTGAATTTTCTTTTGACAGTGACAAGTCCAGTAGCAAAGAACACAGGGAAAGCAGACTCAGGATAAGCTGCCTGTACCATCTGTATGCAGACAGAACAAAAAGTATCCCTCCCTCACTCCCTGCAGTAAAATCCACCTGCACACTGGGACTTTGAGGGAGGTAGTTCTCTCATTTGCTGGCCCTGTATTTCCTGCTGTAATCTTAATTCAACTCTCTTAGATTAGAAGGAATCATGGGCGACTGGTGCCACCTTAGTCACCCCCCCCACCCACTCCCTGTGACCAGTCCCCCGTGGGCAATCCTGTAGACCAGTCCCCCATGGGAATCCTCTGGGAATCCCCCGTGGGCAATCCTGTAGACCAGGGGGTTCCCCCCCTGGGCAATGCTACTTCCAAGCAACCACCGGCCAATCGCTGCAGCGGCTCGCAGAAGCAGCTGCAGTCACTTCTGGAAGCAGCTGTAGCGATGGGCTGGGGCATTGGCACTCCTGCCTGGCCCTCCCCACCCATCGCCCAAGTGGCAAGCGTGGCCAGTCAAGGGGTGCACCGGTGCTCTCAGGGGTGCACATGGACCCCTGTGCACCCCCTACGCATCACCACGGGAAGGAATCATAGTGTCCACATCAACTATTCTGAAACAAGGAGGGAAACATACTAGGTACCCACTATTGACTCTGACGTGGCTGCAAGAAGAGCCAGTGTGCTCCAACATTGTGGTTAATGTTCACAGACAAGCCATTCAACTTTTTACTTTCTTTTGAGTAATTTTTGTTAAGGTACAGTGAAATTAAATATAGAAATATTGATTAGAAGACTGAGCCCAACCCACTGCAAGTACAAAACAAAGTCCTGAGAGAGAGGATAATTTACTGATAGGACTTTTGCTTAGCTGAAATGTCTCAGACCAGGAGATTTTCATTAATAAGGTATTGGTAGACTCACATGCCATTCAGAGTAATGACAGCAGCCCTATTTCCAATGAAGTTAAGCACTTAATTTTATAATATGTATTATAATATATATAATTTTATAAAACAATTTTATTTTTGTTATTTTCAGCACTGCTATTGAGGCACTACAACAATATTGAGGCAAAACAACTTTCTAAGTGAAAGGACTGTGAGATGATCCTATGGGTAGAGATGTTGATACAACTGCATTTAAGATTGGTATGGAAGTTTTGGTTGAACGAAACCAAAAGTAAATTGTTTTCATCTCTGTTGACAATGGAAGTGAATGATTTAGAGATGCATGTAACCAATAGTGTTATGGGCACTGGGAAGGTGGAAACACTTACCCTATTTCCAAGTTTGTTGGTTGGGTGACCAACACCGGTGACCTTTCTTGAAACAAAGTTTTAATTTGTGTTAATATTAAAAAAAAGATTCATTGTACAATTTTGAGTAATAAGGAACAGGCCATTTATCAAACAATCTGTGATTAAACAGCAGGGTTCTCACACTAATCAATCTAATTGTAGGCAAAACACTTTGTTTTAAATGTAAGCCTTTTTTTTTGCATCGGCAAGGAGCCTGGAAGAGGTGAAAGAGGGAGGTATTCTTCCTAGGGAAAAGAGATGAAAGACATGCATGAACACACATGCAATTGGCTTTTCTGCCTAAAATGAAAAAAAAGACTGTGGTTTACGGTGCATCTCAAAATACAGGTAGCAGGCCCTGCTCTGTCCATTACAGCCTGCAAGAGAGATGCAATCTGTGTGTGTTGATCCTGCTACTGGTAAATCATTAGAGCCTGGACAGCTGCTGAAGCTGTTTGCAGTGGGTGGATTTAATGCATTTTGCCACGCCTCCTTTACCCTCTACAAGAAGAGCTCAGACACAAGCTGCCTCTTTGCCTGTTGCTCATTCAGTCTCTCATGCGTGAATTTGCTGAATCTGAATCCCAGTTACTGAGTCCACACGCAACCTACAGCTATGGTAAGTCACTGCTTGGAAGGCCATAATTCCCTTTACATGTGACAGCTATGATATTTGAAAGTCAAAGAGATTTAAGTCAGCAGTTCTATCCTAGAAAAAGAGTCCGTAGAAAGGGAGAGAAAGAACAGAGCTCTATTCTTAGGTTAATGAATAACATGGGGAAATCCATGGGCAAGCAGTTCACAGTACTACAGTGGGTGTTTACCAGTGTTTCTCTACGTGGGGGAGTTGGGCTTTAGGGGGCAATCTTTCCTGAATGCAAAACTGCATTTCAAATATGACTAGCTACACTCTGTTAAGAATACAGTAGCTATTGCCACAGTCATATCAATGTACAGCTAGGAAATAATAGCAGGTGGTTCTCTTGTATACAGCTCCACTGACCCTTACACATGAAACCATTGTATGCCATTCTCAGCTGTGTAGGGCTAGGAGCTTACTATGGCTATAGTAGGAATGCAGCAGACTGGACTTGAGTTTTTATTAATAGCATTGTACAGGATCCTAGACTGGAAGTCCCAGGAAATCCAGACTACACGGGGGATGAATAGGTGGAATTTTCATGGGAGCCTAACACTACAATAGCAGAAGATGCTGCTCATCAGGACTGAGGTGCTATTGCATATTGACCTCTAGCCAATGCCATTAGCTTCTCACTTTCATAAGCATGAGGCAGCCTTTAAAAGGAAACTGTTAAATTAATTGATTTTTTTCCTTTTTTTTTTTTTTATTTCAAGTGGGCATGCAAAACTTATTCTCCCCTAAGCGCACGAGTTGTTTCCTTTGCACCAGTTGCGTGACATGCTTATTATGTTGCAGACAGGAAAAAAAACAAAATAATGCCAATGCTGTGGAAAACACATTGCAGATGTAAGTTTAATTAAATTGAACACACATGTTTTAAAGAATGAAAGCATGTGGGAAGAATTGCAACATTGACAGAAAACAGCCCAGTACAACCAAATCTGGGGACAGAAAGCTAAGATATTCTAGTTTGGTCAAAGGGGTTGGGGAAAGGAAGGTGCAGAGGAGCATTTGGTGCAGAAGAGGACAGTGCCTGGGAGATCCAGGCCACATGTCTGTTATGAGATATCCTTATTCTATAGCAAACTCAACACTTAGTGAGGGATTCAGGACCCTACACTTGCCTATCTGCCACACCCAGGCTTTGTGCTGTTTATAAGAACAGAAGTGGAAGGGCATTCGGAGTAAGAGTCTAGACCAGTGGGGACCAAATTTGTGGCAGGTGTGCCACAGATTAGCCCCACAACCTCCCCAGGTGATGTTACAATCCACTTCCTCTGCCCAATCAGTTTATGGTTTCTGCTTCCTATCCTGTGCTCCTTGCCTGATCTGCTGGTCTGTGCACCACTGGATGGCCATCCCAGTCTAGACTTCTGTTATCACAACCACTCATGTCAAATAATAGACCATATTCACTCAAATCCAAGACATCTAGTTTAAGATGACCTCCCAATAATTATAAATTTTCTATGTCAAAAATCTAAATGTTATAATTTTTCATGTACAGAATCTAATTACTGGAGGACAGTCTTAAATACCTCCCGCACCTTACTGCAGCAGGGCAAGCAGCAGGGGAGTGAAGCAGACTGACCCGTGCCCCATGCCACCTATTTCCCCCACCACCTACCCTCCTCCTGGCTGTCACCCCTCCATGCTTGCACCCCCTGGCTTCTGCCCCCCACATAGTGCCTGCACCCCCTAGCACCTGCCCCCCTCCCAACTACTTGCCCCCTTTTGGCCCCCCTGCTACCTGCCTCCACTTACCTTTCCCAGTTACCTTCCTATTGAAGCTCCAGCTGGAGCCCTGCCCAAGTCCCAGGCACAGGGCACATGCTGCCTCTGGCCCCTGCCCAATGAAGCAGCAGCAGCAGTTGCAGCAACATCGTCTCAAGGTCTGACCCCAACCCAAGCCCCAGGGCCAAAGCTGCTGCCCTTGCTACCTCCACTGTTGCATGGCTGGGTGGGGGCTGGAGGCACATTCTCCATGCCTCAGCCAGAGCTGTGGCAGGAAGGCAAGTGATGGCAGTAAGGAACAGAGGTCAGGAAACAGAGGCTGCAGGCAGCAGGGCAAGAGGGGCAGCAGCTGCAGCTCGGACTCCAACCCCATACTCAGAGTTGGAGCAACTGCCCCCTCCTTAACCCCATCTTGTACTCAAAACTAAGACAAAGGGCTTCAACTGCCCCATATTGAATGGGGGAAGGGGAAACCTCATCTTGGATTCAAGTAAATACAGTAATCCCTTTCATAAACTTAAGCCCCATTTTAAAAGTACTTGGGTGTCTTGCTCCCACAACTTCTGGTGGGAGATTGGTTTCAGAACCTTATTGAAGAAGATTCCCAACATCAGAACCAATTTTATTCACAGCCAATTTATACCCATTTGTTCTTATATCAATATCTATTTATCTAACTTTTTCCTTCTGTGTGTATGCCTTCTGTCACCCTCCATTATATAATTAGACTAAACAAATCACACTCTTTTAGTCTGTTCTCCTAAAATAACCTCTCCAGACTCCAATTGATCATCCTCATCACCCTTCTCTGCACCTCTCCAAAATGCTGACCTGCAATGCCATCTGGGGTATTCCAAACTAGAATTCAAAAGATGGTGCAGTGGAGCCTGAGATTAAGTCAAAAGAGAAGCAAAGAGTGCAGAGGCAGTTACACCAAAGGCAGGCAAAGGAGGAGCACTGCCCTTGAGTCTGGACAGGCTAAAGTGAAGTACCTTATTTACTCAAATATAAGACAAGATTCCCCCTACCCCAGTCAGCATGGGAGGAAAAAAATCCTCATCTTATATTGCCATATGAAGTAGAGGAGGGAGCAGGTGGCTGCTGCAGCTCTGGCCCCAAGCCTGGGTCAGGGCCAGAATCAGGTCCACAGCAGCCTCCTCCTCCCCCCCACCCCACTTCCTTTCTGCAGCTTTTGCCCACCCCCTGCCTACCCCCTTACTGTCAGGTGCCGTTTGGCTCTGGCTCAGGCTAGGCTAGGGTCTCTCCTAGGCATGGAGCATATGGAAACTTAGCACTGCCGATTGTCCAGGCAGGAGAAACAGTGCTGCAAAGGCTGAGCTTCTACATGCTGTGCTCTGGGATGGAAAAGCCCAAGCAGCATCTGACAATAAGGGGTTAGGGAAGGAGGGGGAAGGGGAAGGAGCAGAGACTGGAGAAAGCTGGGAGTGGGGGATGCAGGGGCAGGGGTCCAGGAAGACTACAAGGGACATGCCACCTGCCCCCTCCCCACCCCCAGCCATTACTTTCCCTGAAGTAGCATTGGGTGAAGGGATTCAAGACAACCTCCAATACTTAGATTCTATACTTGGAAAATTATGAAAATTTATAAATGTTCCATATATAGAACCCAATCATTGGGGAGTCATCTTATATTCAGGGTCATCTTACAAGCAAGTAAATACAGCAATTGAGTACAGGGAGGTGGGGGGGAGGTTCTAGGAACACGAAATCGGGCTTCATCCTAATCAGATGGGGTATACCCCAATGAATGTGAGCTCCTTCAGGCAGAGCCCAAGTGCCTTCAGGGTGATGTTGGGAGTGTTCGAATGGTTGCTGTGTTGAACAAGGATTTCAAGAAGGAGAAAGTACACTTGTTCCCTGCTTAGTCATCACTAGCTTATCTTGTTTTCATCACAGTTGCGACCCAGTGAAGTGCTTACCTAGAAGCCTGATGCCATTCCATAATGACAGCGTTGCTGAACTATTAACCTATTCCTGGCTGCTGCGGGCATCTGTAGCCATTGTATAATTAAGGAATGGGAAAGTGATAGCTCTCACCACAGTAGGCCTTGACTTTGCTACCTCTGTTGTTGGCAGACAGATTGAAGAAATAGCACTTGCTCTCCTGCAGAGCAGCCTGGAGCACTGAACTCTGGACCAGAAACTGAAAGGTTATTTCAACACTGGCTATGTTCAGACACTTCAATATGTTAAACGGATTCCCTCCCCTGTCCCCATCACTGCCATGGCTGCAAGTTAACAGCTTTTTCCCTTCTAGCTAATGTCTGTGCAGTGCTAGAGAAACAGCATCAAGTTGTGATGGTCTTACAGCAAGTCAGTCTCCTCCCCACTTTATCTTGGTTGCTAAGATACCTGGAACAAGCTTATCTAGTGATCACACTGAAAGGGCAATGGCTGAGGTTTTATTGTGCCAAGCAGTGTTTACCCTATATCTTCCCTTTAATAAAATAAAAAGCTTCAGAGCACAGTACAAAGCAGCCAAAAGATGGGGGATGGGATAGAAATTAACCCTAAGAACAAGGGGCATTTCTCAAAGTAGCACTACTGTAAGGAAGGCAGGGGACAGTGCTACTGATTAAGTCCGTCAAAGAGCTGGTTTCATATTTACAAATGCTTTCCCCAAAAACTTGAGGAGCAAAGCCATTGAATCAATAAATACACTGAGTGATATTTAAGAGGCAGAAGTTTGATATTATGGAAATACATAAAATCTGTTAGCATTCCCTGTGATCTATGCTTCATCCTGCATTTTCATTGTTATTATTACATAAAACAAATAGACCAAGGCAGTGGTACTCAAACTTTTTAGCCTCAAGACATCCCTCAGAAAATTTCAGCTCTTAGTTTTCATTCATGTTTTAACTACAGAGAAACAACAGAACAATTCTTGTTTTAAAGTACTCAGGAAAACAGTATTATTTGAAAACTCTGGGTTAATCCTGGAAATCACATTTGAACACCTAACAGGCCTAACATAATGCAGTGCCCCAAGGCACCCTTGAAAAGCTCTCAAGGCATCCCAGGGTGCCACAGCAACCTTGTTGAGAATCACCAGACTAGCGACATCAGGTTTAGGTATCAATGTTATGCAGGTGTTCATGCACACAGCAGACATGGATCACATCTGAGTAATAGGAATAAGAGCTCCTCACATACAGTTCTCAGCAGCTGAAGATAGTGAGCACCTATACACATGCAGCAAAGCTGCTCCAACGCACTGC